TTCCCTACAGTAAAAATTATCTGTTATCTATATTGCAGTATCTATATTACAAAAATGAACTGTTTTCAAAAAAATGGAGACAAGAATACAATATCAGAGAAAGCAGCACAGCACTGTTACCTCTAAATTATCTTTAACTTAGCTGTAAAATGTTAAGCAAGTCAGTCATCTGCTACCTCATCTGTAGCAAATTAATCAATTTTAATTTGTCAAAGAGTGATAAGCAAAAATGTGGTACAATTTTTCATTCATTACTTTGAATCAAAGCAAAGTAATCAACTTAAATAAGCTTTATAACTGAAACAGTTAGCTAAATGCAGTACCCAAAGAGTATTTAATAAAGAATAGGGTACAAAACATTCAATAGTTAAAAAAAAAAAAAAGATGCGTTACCTTGCACTAATGGGTCATCAGCCATTCTGAATAAAAAAATTCCTTCCTCTCTTAAACAGATAGTCTAAAAATTTTTTTCTTAACAATGCTGAACATCGTTAAATTACACATTACTCATTAATTACTCAAACCTCATTACTCTATGGTTGGAAATGATGTGATACATGGCCTGAACAACTTAGTTTACTTCTGTAGGACTGTCTACACTGCACACCCTCCAAATACTAAGTGCTGAACCAGATGAACCGACATATGTTACTTGGTATACAGTAGGTCTTACTGAATCACTTAAGGCCAGGTGGCTGACTTCAGAACCACATGCTGAGATACAGCTGCACTTTCACCCTGTCCCCCATCCCATTCCAATCTGTAGAGCTATATTACTTTCTGTCACTTTGTTGACAGGTCCCCCTCTTCTGCTGTCAGTTCTGGTGCTTAAGGTCCATTACTGTTACTGATCTCCTTTGCCATTCTCCATCTAGCTACATGCAACTGCTAACACTTCTTTTTCTGTTTCTTCATCATTTTTATCTCTTTTCCTGCTCTTCTCAGCTACCAGAAAAAAAGAGATCTACTTCACAGCCATAGTCAGCCAATTGATACACTCCTTTCCTTCTAAATAAAAAGAAAAAAGAATCAAAGCAGGTGGGGATGATCTCTGGCTTTTCAGAACTCTTTTCATCACAGTCTGAAACCCAGAGGTTCATTCACTGTTACAAAAGATGCTTTATGGTTTCTTTTACTTCTAACTTTGGAGTTACTGCAGATACTTGGTCTATAGACAATTTAAGTTTTTACAACTACAGTATTTTAGGGTTAAAAAAGTAACAGAAGACAAGGTGGCTGCTTTCTTAACCCTTAAAAAATTTACCCAAAAAAACCTGCAAAATTTTCTATTAAGATCAGACCTTACGGGGAGTTCCCTGGTGGTCTAGTGGTTAGGATTCTGGGCTTTCACTGCCACGGCCTGGGTTCAATCCCTGGGAATTGCAATCCCACAAGCCATGTGGCACAGCCAAAAAAAAAAAAAAAAAAAAAATCAGATCTTAAATGAATAGTGCCCCAAAAAAGATATACATATGGCCAAAAAGCATATGAAAAGATGCTTAATATCACCAACCAGTAGGGAAGCCAAAACCACTGAGATACTGCTTCACACCCATTAGGATGGCTATTATTAAAAAAAAAAAATAGAGAAAATGTGCTTGGTGAGGACGTGGAGAAGTGCTGGTGGCGATGCAGAGAAAATGGAGCCTCCATGCACTGCCAGTAGGAATGTAAAATAGTGTAGCCATTGTTGTTAATAATATGTCAATACTTAAAAAAATAAACATAAGGCTTCCATGGTGGTGCAGTGGTTGAGAGTCCGCCTGCCAATGCAGGGGACACGGATTCGTGCCCCGATCCGGGAAGATACCACATACCATGGAGCGGCTGGGCCCGTGAGCCATGGCCGCTGAGCCTGCGCGTCTGGAGCCTGTGCTCCGCAGCGGGAGAGGCCACAGCAGTGAGAGGCCCGTGTACCACAAAAAAAAAAAAAAAGAAAAAAAAGGAAGAACATTTTAACATATGCTACAACATACATGAACCTTGAAGTCACTATGCTAAGCAAAATAAGCCAGTGAAAAAAGGACAAATGTCCTATGATTCCACTTATATGAGGTATCTAGACAGAAACAGAAAATTCATAGAAAAAGTAGCTTAGTGGTTGTCCAGTGCTGAGGAAAGAGGGGAATGGGGAGTTAATGTTTAATGGGTATGGAGTTTCAGCTAGGAAAGATGAAAAGATCTGGAAACGGATGGTAGTGACAGCTGCATAACAACGTGAATGTACTTAATTCCACTGAAATGTACACTTAAAAATGGTTAAAATGACTAATTTTATGTTATGTATATTTTACCACAATTAAAAAATAAAGGAATGAAAAGTAAAGTTGACATAAGTTAGCTTATTTCACTTGCTACTTAGTTATCCACAGCCACTGTACAAACCCAATCTGACCCTAAAACAGACAGCTCAAGTTATGTTCAACTGAGTAAATAGTGCTTAATTTTGTTTGCACTAATGAAAAGCTTGGAAACATCTCTACATATCTGAAGACATCAGATTATCCTCATAGAGGTCTGCCTGGGAAAGCTGAGAAAAACAGGCTGTCAATAAAAAAGATCTCTCAGGCTCACACAAAACACTGAGTAAATATTCCTGAGATTTTTAAACACTGACGCCTCCATGCCTATATCCTTGCTATTCCAAGATATACCAACACATTCCTGCCTCAGGGCCTTTTCCTAGCCTAAAACACATACCCACATACCTGCAGAGCTCACTCTGATTTCATGCAGATCCCTACTCAAAAGTCCTCTTATCAGAGAGGCAGGATTTTTTTTTTTTTAAATGGTAGAATGGAAACTGCCTTGTCCTGTGACTATTTTTTTTTTAATATAAATTTATTTATTTATTTTTGGCTGTTTTGGGTCTTCATTTCTGTGCGAGGGCTTTCTCTAGTTGCAGCGAGCGGGGGCCACTCTTCATCGCGGTGCGCGGGCCTCTCACTGTCTCGGCCAGAGAGGCAGGTTTTGACCACCCTATTTAAAACAGCATCCTCCATCATTCTCTCTCCCCTCAATGTGCTTTATTTTTCTTCATAGCCCTTATCACTACCTGATGTATCTACTTGCTAACTGTCCTTCTCTATCCGCTACAGCATAAATTTCAGAACAAAGACTGCCCATTTTGTTCAGTATTGGAAGCCCAGCAACTAGAACACCACCTGGCACGCTGAAGATGGCCCATAAATACCTGTTAATGGAATGAGTGGGTGCATGGTTACGGTTTCATAGGTCATGCTGCCCTCTTGGCGTTGGTGCTATTCTACCATTTACCAGCTTCACAACAGCCACTGCTTCTAAGCCATCCACAGCATTCCTGGTTTAGGCTTAAGTGGAAGGAACACTTAAAGAGTCAGATAGAATCCTGGTACCAGTATGTCAAAAAACTGCTCCCTGACTTATTTTCTAAATACATCAAATGAATACAGTATATCTGTCCCTCACAATGAGCGATAAAAAACAAGCACGAAGAATACACCCCTAACACCGCTTTAAGACAAAAAGATACCGTGGATTGCATCACATTTCACCTGTTTTGATAAATGGTACGAGGCACTCGCTAGTCTGAAAACCAAAGGATTTTGCCTCTGCAACTTTTCACAGGATTTGGGGAAACAAAGACAAGAACACTGTCAATAAATATAGCCAAAAATTAAGTAAGCAATTACTTGGCATAACAAATACACACTCTGGAGCACGAGAAGAATATGTTAAATCTCTGGATGAGAGAAAGAGAAGACTGCCTCCAAAATATACCTAACTTTGTTTCAAAGTCAAAAGTATTCAATTAAGAATTCATCCCAGTGAAATGTCCCACCAGCGCCCATGCATGTTACAAGTTTGGGGAGCATTTTATAACTGCACTTTAATCTTCTGCCTACAGCGAATGTCTTCTGGTAAAGGTCTGGCAGGTGACGATCATTTTCGTAGAAAAATCTTCAAGCAGAGAACCACCAAACCTCCCCACCTGAGAAAGCTTAGAAAGGCCCATTACGCTACAGTCTCTAGGCTCCCAGAACCCCAAACGTCCAAGAGTAAGGAGACTCATCCAGGGAACACACGTGTAATGCCCCGCCTCGGAAGTGGAAATGGCAGGTGTAAGCTGCCCATCAGCGGGGTCCTGTACACAGGGCAGAAGTGTCCGCAGGAAACGCGGCGCCAGCGACCCCCGCCCGAGACGAACCAAGGCCAGCCTCTTCCTCTGATTCCGGCCCAGGCCTGCCCCCCGGGAGTTCACAACCCGGCAAACGCAGGTCCTACCTGAGCTCTGCCCCCAGCTACAGGGCTGTGGGGGTAGGCGGGAGGAGGCGTGGCCTTCCAGCTCGCCAGCCGAACTCCCTCGTGCGGTTGTTACGACTTTCCCTGTCCGGATCCGCGCCCCGAACAAGTTCCAGTTACACTTCCGGGGTCCGCAGGAGACTGAAACGTCATTGCGCACACGTCGGCGGCGGCCGCGACAAGCCGGAAGGAGGCGGGGCGTGGTCGCTGGGTCGGTTCTTGCGGCGGTAGGTGGGCTGGGAGAAAAAGGCACACGGGAGGGAGGGGTTGTCCTGTTATGTCCCTGTGGGCTCACTTCGCCTTTCCTTCGCCCTTTCTTTTGAAGTAAGGGACACCCCTTCCTGGGTAACTTCAGAGTATGGGGCCACCGTGAAGCCTCGTTCCCCAAGCGTAGTTTAAAAACAGTTGGGAGAGTGCCCATGCCACTAATTGCCCACTCTCCCACACATGGTTTATCCCGCTTCACCTGGTCCCTTCAACTCCAGAAAGGACAGGGGGTGGAAAAGTCTAGAGTTAGAAGATTAAATTTACCTGTAAATTTTGACTTACGTGAAGTAGGTACTCATTTTCTTATCTACTGACTGCTAATAGGATAGATTGGAAACAGCTGTGTAAAGCTAGGATCACATCGCTAACAGTGGGTTGGATCTAAACTCAGCCTTTACGGTAAAAATCCCTGAGAGTAAAAATTACTCATGAAAATACCGTAAGTGGCCCACAAAGTGCAGATACGTGATGTTAAGTATAAACTCTAGGTCTTTAATTCTTACGCACACTTGAATGTGAGACCTCTTAGCTAGTTTATGTTTTCATGAAAAGGGAGTTTGTAGATATCTGGGCATTTAAACTATGCTGATAAATCCAAGGGGCAACACCTAGTTTTCATCTTGCTTAACCATTCACCAGCATTTGACACAGTCCATCACATCCTCCTTTTTGAAACTTGAAACGCTTTCTTCATTTGACTTTTGTGAACTCACAGAGCTCTTTTGATTCTTCTTTGCTAGACTCTGCCTCATTTCTTAGTGTGTCCCAGCTCTCTTCCCCTCTTTAGCCACCTTTATTCCCCAGGTAATCTCATTCTTTCCTTCACTGATTATTCCCAAATACTCTTAGAAACTTATTCCACCTCCCAATATTCACTGGAACTTGATATATTTAATGTTGAATATGATCAGTGGGCTTTTAAGATATATTCCCGCATCCTTATAATGAGCTTTCTTTCTTACACACACACACACACACACACACACACACACTACATTCCTGTAGTAAATCTGAGCTGTGAGTACAACTATATGATGAGTTGTGTGAGTTCTCCTAAGAGAGAAAAGACAAGTAATAGAGACTGATCCCAAGCTAATTCATTGTTGGAATCATTAGGACTTAAAGAGCTATAACTATACTTAATGACTTAAAGGAAAAGAATACTCACATTGAATGAAAATACAGGAATTCTCAGCAGAGACGTAAAATTTATAATAAAGAACCAAATGGAAATTCTATTACAAAACAACAAAACATCTGAAATTTTTTAAAAATTCACTTGATGGGCTTAACAGAAGAATGGAGATTGTGAAGACAGTCAGTGAACTTGGTCATACATAACACAAAAATAGCATACCTATGCACAAGAAAGTCAAACTTCTGTGAACCAACAATAAAGAGAAAATCTTGAAAGCTGCAGGAATAAAATGCCACATTCATGTAGGAGAACAGTGATCCAAATGATCAGAACTTGGGTCTTCTCATCAGAAACAGTGGAAGCCAGAAGAGAGTGGATCGTTTTAGAAGTGCTGAAAGAAAAAGACAGTCAATCCAGAATTCTGTATCTAGTGACATATCCTTCAAGAGTGGTGAAATAAAAAGTTATAAGTAAAAGGCTTTATCACAAGCAGATCTGCACTACAAGAAATGCTAAAGGAAGGGAAATAAAATCAAATGGCAATTCAAATCTTCAGGAAGAAAGAGCATCAAAAGTAGCAAGTATCTCAGTAAATATGTGTTTTACCTCTTAATTTCATTAAAATACATATAACTGTTTAAAACAAAAATTATAACATTGTCTAGTAAGACTTATTATATCTTTTGATATAGTACATATGAAAGTTAGCTATACCATAAAGGGCAGGGTGGGGTAGGTAGTGAATGTACATTTATACTCTATAGAAAGTTAAGGATATACGTTTTAATACTTAGAATAACCACTAAAAGAAATGCAAAGAAATGTAAAAAGCCAATAGATAAAATATATAAGAATATTCATAGCAGTTTATTTACAATAGCCCCAAACTATAAATAATCCAGGTGTCCATCAGACAGTGGCATAAACAAATTTTTGTATATTCATGCAACAGACTACTAAACAATGGAAAGGAACAAGCCACTAATACCTGGAACAACATGAATGAACCTCAAAACATTAAGCTGAGTGAAAGAAGCCTTGCACGCAAAAAAGGTATGCTGGTTATAATTTCATTTATATGAAATTCTAGAATGTGCCTAACTAATCTATGGTGGAAAAACTAGATCAAAAACACTAAGTTTGGGAGATACCTGGCTTGTTCAAACAGTTCTAAGGAGGCCAAAGTGGCTGGAAAGAAGAAAACAAAGAGGAGTAGTAGAAGAGGAAAGAGGGATGTGTGAATGAGGGATCATGCAGGCTATTGTTAAGACTTTCTACTCTGAATGAAAAGTAGAGTCACTGTAAGTAGAGGAGAGACACTATCTGATTTTAAAAGGGTCTCTATGGCTGCTTTAAGAATTGACTGTAGGGTCAGTATAGAGCTAGGCAGACAATTTGGGAGGCTATTTTGTTCATCTAGATGAACAGTGATGGTGACTTGGACTCAATAAGTTTTAGCTCTTAATGTTATTTCAATTCAAGATAGGTTTTCCGTCATTGAATTTTTAAAAATATTCAGATATAATATATTTAATTTTCAAGAAATATTTCTTATTTTCTGATTGCTTATTTTACATAGTAGAATGTTCTTTTATGTTTACAATATCATCCGAAAATTCTTTTCTTCTGTTTCCTTAACCATCTTTCTTTCCTCTAAGGTTGGTTATTCTGTTTATTGTCATCCTTGTCTTTGATTGATTTTCTGCGAATATCTGGTGATCCCTGATTTTCTGTTTAGGTCTTTGTAAAATGGGTTATGTTGATTACTTTAGAGGTAACTAGAATGTTTTTCCTTCCAATATTTTATCATGAATATATACAACCATAAAGAAAGTTAAAATAATAGTACAGTGGACATGTGTCCCCACTACCTAGACTCTCCTGTTAACATTTTATTATACTGTACTAGCTTTGTCATATAACTGTTTACATATCCATCTTCTATTGAGCCATTGACTTATCTTTTTTTTTTTAAAAAAAAGCATTTTGAAGTAAATCATGGCATTAATTTTTCCTTTAGTTGTGTAAGTGGAGGTTTTCTAAACAGGAGGGAAAAATGAGGCTCTGAGTCAGTAGATAGGGCTTTTCCTAGTCACAGTTACCTTAAGGATATAGGGGTGGAAAATAGAAAGGTAAGCTGAAGTCTCTCACAGTTATTAAACTAAGAAGGGTTTTATTCTTGGGGAGGAGAATTTCCCTCCTGGTCTGTCTTTCTGTCTCCCTCCCCGCAACCCCCAGTCAATTTTGTACCTTTTTCAGAGAAACAGTGTAACCTCAAGCTTTGCTATGTGATATTTTTCTCCTATATCATTTATTCGTTTAGATGTTAAGATTTAGCTGTTTGTGATTTTTTAAAACCAAATAACAGCAGTTTAAGCAAGATAGAAGTTTATTTCTCACACACATAAGTGTAGGTACCCCAGGACTAGTTATCCAATCATCAGTGAACCAGGTTTCTACATTTTTGTGGTTCTGTCGAGCTCAATATGTGCCATCCACAACTGATGAAAGTGGCTGCTCTAACTCTGGACATTATGCCCACCTTCCAGCCAGAAGGAATAGTCCTTTAAGAATTTCCCAGCCAGAAGTTGCTCACAACATTTTTGTTTATATCTTAAATGTCAGTACTTAGACATACAGTCACACATAACTACTAATGACAGATTGAAATTATAATGGAGTAATCACAGTTTGGGCACACAAAATGGAGTCAGGTGGCCATTGAGGATATGGTCTCTGGTCTCTGCATCACTGAGAACTTGAACTTTCTTTGAAATGTTCCAGGCCCAAGGACACCACCAGCCATATTCAGAACAACACTTGCCAGCTGCAACCTTATCATCTCAAGGTCTCCCTTTGTAACTGTGCAACCATTTCAGACCCCAACCAATCCATGCTTACCAAGCACCCTCACTTCTTGCCAGCTCTAATCATAATTCTTGAAAAACAACTCATATAATTAACTGTAGCCTTGCAACTTTTTGCCTTTATAAGCCTCTCCCATTTTGTAGTCTGGTAGAACACAATTCAAGTGTTTGTTGAATCTGTGTTTCCCAGGCTGCAGTCTTTATTTCAGTCAGGTCTCCATTTCTGAAACTTTGGTTAACACTACCTGCTATTAAGTACTAGGAAATGTTATATTGCTTCAAGGTGACCATGTGCTTCACAGGACAAAAGGGAGAATGGATGTTGCAGGTACAGCTAGCAGTCTTTGTTTTAGACCTCAACATTCATATTATTTCCAGGAAGACATTTCCCAGGCAGATCGCTCACTTTCTCTAGGAAGCCATTCTCAGCATGTTAGCCTGAGGCAAAAGATTCCAGCCAAACTGTATCAGAGCCCAAGTTAGTTGTGTCTGTTCAGCTGACCTGTCTTGAACTGGCGCTTCCCTCAGCGATTTTCAAAGTGCTGTGGAATTACTTTAGGGATATTATAAGAAAGCAGATAGATACTGTCTAAATAACCTTCTTAACCTTCATATCTCTTTTATATTTTAGGTTTCCTGGAATAAGAATTCATCGGAAGAAAGCATTACTCTGTGGAAGTTTGAAAGCCGTTATCAGTATTCTCTGCCGATAGCAAATGCTCTCTAGTCGGCAGCTATCAGAGCAAATTCTGTCTCTCCACTCTGTGGTCCTAGGCCCACTGTAGCCACCAGGGAACAGTTCAACTGAAATGACCCATCAACTCCATTCCTGTTGTTATT